AGTAAACACAAACCTTGAGGTTGACTTGCTTTCGTCCCGGTCTGCCTGAAAGTCAGAATCGTTGTAACCCAACGGAAGCAACTCATCTGCCTGGTAAATCAACATGTACTCCTTAGTCCTGCGAAGGTACTTGAGTATATGCTTTACCGCAGACCAATGTTCCGGTCCTGGATTACTCAGATATCTTGCTACCATGCCCACGACATAACAAATATCAGGTCGCGTGCACAACATAGCATACTTGAGGCTTCCTACTCCCGATGCATAAGGAACTGCCTTCATGTCCTCTATCTCTTAAGGCGTCTTCAGGGACATCCTTTTAGATAGAGGTATTCCATGTCGAAAGAGTAAATCCCCTTTCTTGAAATCCTGAATGTTGAAACGCTTTAGGACAGTGTCTATGTATGTGGATTGGGATAGGCACAACTTTCTCTTCTCTCGGTCGCGAATGACCTTGATTCCGAGAACATGTCCTACTTCACCCAAATCCTTCATATCAAACTGCTTGGATAACCATACCTTTACGCCTGACAACATCTCCACATTGTTTCCAATGAGAAGAATATCATCCAAGTAAAGCACTAGAAACACCACCACGTTTCCATCACTTTTCTTGTACACACAGTGCTCATCCGGACATTGGGTAAATCCATACGATTGGACAACCTCGTCAAAATGGATGTTCCAAGACCTCAAAGCCTGTTTCAGCCCATAAATGGACCTCTTCAGCTTGCAGACCAGATGCTCTTGGCCCTTTGCAATGAATCCTTCTGGTTGCTGCACATAGATGTCCTCATCCAAATTCCCGTTAAGGAAAGCGGTCTTAACATCCATTTGCCAAATCTCATAATCGATATGAGCGGCCACAGCCCAGAGAATCCTGATGGATTTGAGCATGGCTACCGGCAAAAAGGTTTTCTCATAATCGATCCCTTCTTTCTGAGTGTACCCTTTCGCAACAAGCCTAGCTTTGAAGGTCTCAACCTTCCCATCTGATCCTCTCTTTCTCTTATAGACCCACTTGCATCTAATGGCGCGAACGCCACTGGGTGGCTCTACAAGATCCAAGACCTGATTTGTGTCCATTGACTCTATTTCAGATTTCATTGCCTTTTGCCAAGACTCTGCGTCCCGATCTTGGAGTGCCTCATTGTATGTCCATGGGTCTGATTCAAGAACGTCCGGGACGGCCTCAAAAGACTCTCCCAGACCCATGAACCGTTCTTGCTGCCGGACAACCCTCCCACTACGACAAGGTACTACCTGCTCAGGTGCATCATCAGTGATACGTGTTGCAGTACTTTGTGGTGTAACATCTAGCACACTCGGTATTGAAGTACTCACTCCCTTTAACTCCTCAAGAACATGTCTACTACTGGGCTTATGATCTAAGACATAGTCTTCTTCCAAGAACCTAGCATTCGTGCTAACGATTACTTTTCGGTCCTCGGGACTATAAAATAGACCACCTTTCGTTTCCTTAGAATATCCCACAAAC